CGCCTTATTGTGGTCACTCCACTTCTACCTAGGGTGGCGGCCAGTTCCCACAGTTCCTGCTCCACCCCATGCTCTGCAAAGGGAGGGGTGCAGCTGGTCCCCAGGATGGGCCAGGTACCACAGCTGAGGCTTCTTCCTTCTAAATGAGGCCAAACCAGGGACCACAGTCCCTGAGGGACAGGGCCTCCCTGGTGAGTGACCACAGAGGCCTCTGAGAGCCCTGAGGACTCTGGCTGCCCTCTGACTGTTGGGATAAGACCTCCCTTGGAGCCCCAGATCTAGACCAGCTAGGACTGGAGCCATGTGGAGCTGGGCACCTGGGGACACTCAGGCTGGGGGCAAACCCGGGCGCTACGGCAGGAACACCTTCCGGAAGGAATGGGCAGAGGACCCAGCCCTCAATGTGGAGGCAAATCTTGCGCTCGATGGATTTTATCAGCAGCAGCAAGTGCCGTCACAGTAGCTTACACCAGCCCCCCATCGGTCCCTAGGAGCTACCTGGTCCCAGCAGAAACACCCCAGAGGGGGCGTCCGCACAGTCCAGCCCAACCCTGCACGTCCCCAAACGGAGCAGAGGCTGATGGCCACGGAGCCACACTGGCCTGGGGGCTGGCACCTGTGCACAGGGGGCCTGTGGCTCCCCGAGCCGTGACAGCAGTCCTCGGGGCACTGTCTGGTTCCTGCAGCGGTTGCTCTCGACAGAGCTCGTGGGAACCCCGGGAGGGAGACCAGGTGTTTAGGCTGCTGGTGGGCCAGCTCTCCTGGCATCACCTGCCTCGGGGAGGACGGGGAAAGGTACTGAGCGTCAGGAAGCGCGAGCCCCCGTTTTCCAGGTCCCTGTCTCGAAATCTGAAACATCCGCTTCATTCCGGTCTGCCCTGGGCGCTGGGAATGTTGGTTCCCGCCGCCTCTGAGCAACCCGACAGCTCCTGACTCCCTTTAAAAGGGAGACCATTTCCCGTGTGCGTTCTCCAGGTGGCGGCACGGTTTCCGCCCAGCGCTCCAGTGTCACTGCCGCTTCCTGGGTGGGTGGAGGGACTGCTGAACGCTGGGAGGCCGGCAGGGAGGCATGTTGTGGGAACCCTTTCACCTTGCTCTGCCCCGGTGGGCACTGAGCTCAATTTCCTGAGGCTGGGCTTTGGGTCACTGGCTGGCACTGGACCCTGCCACACATCCTGCCTTAGAAGCTGGTTGGCGCCGCCGGAACCGACAGCGCCAGACCTGTCCTGGAAGGTGAAGGCCACCCCAGCTGGGGCAGGTGAGGCGCAGCGGCTAAAGCTCCTGCCTGTGTGTGTGTGTGTGTATGTGTGCGTGTGTGTGTGTGTGTGTGTGTGTGTGTGTATGTGCACGTGTGTACGTAGGGTTCTCTGCAAGGTCCATGGGGACCACTCCAAGTCCCCAGGTGCCTTGTGACAGACCAGAAGGGCCAGTGCCCTCCCAGAGCTACAGGACGCTGATAGGTCGGCCGGCCTCTCCTGTGGAGGCCCAGGTAGAAACATTTAGAAAAGACTTCCAGCTCCGTAGGTCACAGGTCTACATTGTAGCTGCTTGATTCTGTGGTTACGGTTCAAAAACCGCCACAGGCGCCTGTGAACAGCGGGCCTGGCTGTGTCCCCATAAAACTTTCCCTGTGGACACTGAACTTTCCTATCATCTGCACACGGGAAGCAGCAGTGTTCTTTTGTTTTTGTTTCAGTCATTTAAAAAGGGTAAACACACACACACTCCCCTTGCAGCCGTATAAAACCAGGTGGCGGGACCCTCCCCGCAGGTGTGCCAACCCTGATCCGGAGAAGCAGACTCCATCAGGCTCCGCCCGCGGGCTGGGCTCGGCTCCTCCCTCTGCCCTCCTTTCTGGGGCAGGCCCGGCCTGCACCCCCCAGACCCGGCTTCCGCCAGGGCTCAGCCTCTGCTCACGACACCTGTGTGATGCCACAGGTAAAACATGAAGACTGGCTGAGCCAAGGCCCCCTGCCACCTCGTCACTCCCTCTCCAAGCTCCAGCAGCTAAGGGGTCATGGTTGGCCCGATGGGGCCTCCAGGACCCTGGGGGCTGCTCCCATCCTTCATTACGGCCATGGGAGCCTTCCCAGCTTCCCTCAAAAGTCCTGGTGTCGGCCAGCAGCAGGGGATGTGAATTCCCACAGCAGCAATGGTGGCCCAGGTACAGGCCCGCTGGCTGGGAGGGACAAGGTTTGAAGCCGGATGGGGCTCTGGGGTTTGCCAGGTCTGAGGGAGTCACCAGGGGGGGTGTGACCTCCGGGCTGCTGCCCCCACCTGCTCTGCCCACCCACCCACTCAGGTCCAAGGTCAAGGTGGCACATGGGAACAGGACCCAGGCATAGGAGTGGGCTTGCTTCCCCGACTCATTCTTGGTCAGGACAGACAGCCCCAGACAAGCTGGTTCTGCTGTGCTCCAGCAAGCACCCCACGGCTTGGGGTCCCACCTGGGGTCCCACCCAGGCAGAGATCGCACCCATGAGCTACACTCCCTGGATGGCGGGACCCGCCTCCAGAAAGGGCCCTCCACCCGCACCCAAGCCCGAGCCCCAGGAGCAGGCGCCCGCGTACTTATGCAGGGGGCGATGGGGGAGCGGCTCTGCTGGTAGCCTTTGGCGCAGCGGTTGCAGGTGATGCCGGTCACGCCGTCCTTGCAGGGACACTGGCCGGTGGTTTGGTTGCAGGTTTTGCCAGCAGCGCCCACGGGGTGGCAGTCGCAGGCTGTGGAGGACACACAACAGGAGGGTCAGAGGGCAGGAAGGGGCCCCGTGCACACACTCCTCCTGGGGGTCCCTCTCCTAGGGAAGAGCAGGAACGGGGGAGTGGACCCAGCCAAGCCCACACTTTCCGGAAGCCCCGAACACTGGCCACTTGCCTACCTGGAAAAGGGAGTGAAGATTAGGATACACGGACTCGAAAGGATGTTCTGGCAGCAGGAAAGCAAGGGTGGGGAGCCCCTCCAAAGGCCCGAGAGGAAGGCACACCGTCAAGCATGTTTCCAGGAATGCAAAGTCTGACCACGGCGGAGGAGTCAGACCTGGGGGCCGCCCCTTCTCCCGATGGGTTTGTGCATTCTCATTCCTCCACCCGCCAGCACCTGGCCCCCACACTCCCCTGCTGACCCTCTGGGCGAGAGGGACAGGGTTTGGAGCCTGACGGGGGAGTCAGCAGGAGGTGCGGCCTGCAGGCTGCTGCCCCCACCTGCTCTGCCCACCCGCCCTGATTTGCAGCCGGGCTGGGGCTCAGGCTTCTGGACCCCAAAGCCCATAAACCGCAGCAGTGGGAAGAGGCAGAGTGATTGTTTAATAAACGTGCAAAGACTGGGAGGTGCGGGAACCCTCCCCAAGGGCCTCACAGAGGGCATGGCCAGGCGGGGCAGTGACGTGAGGCCCGGTTCTCAGGCCACTGGCAGCACACGAAGAGCACACCCAGGCCCATGCTCCCGTTTGCCCATCCTGTTACACTGTGTCCGGGTGCCCACTCCTGTGCGCTAAGGACCCTATTCCAGCAATGCAGTGGCCGGGCAACATTGGGGGGACATCCCACTGCTGGGGACTGACTGTATCTTCCCAAAGTCTTACGTTCAAGCCCTAAACCCCAAATACAATGGTATGGGGCGGTGGGGCCCCTGGGAGGTAATTCGGGTTAGATGAGGTCCTGAGGGTGGGACCCGCCTGCTGGGATTAGCGCCTTTAACAGAGGAGGGAGGGAGGTCTCCGCAAGCACAGAGCAAGGAGGCAGCCCCTGCAAACCAGGAAGCGGCCCTCCCCAGACACCGACTCTGCGGCACCTGATCCTGGACTTGTCAGCCTCCGCACGGTGAGAAATACACAGCTGTTGTCTAAGTCGATGGTGCTTTGTTGCAGCAGCCAGAGCTGACTGACCGAGGCACCAACACCTGATGCCCGAGCAAGAACTGCTGCACCAACAAGGCAGGACCTGAGCCCCCAGCGTCCTGCCCCCGAGTCCAGGCAGCGGCCCCGAGTGGGAGTGGGAAGGGAAGACAGGACGAAGGAGAAGTGGTCTGCCTCTCCCCCCGCCCCTGTTCCTTTCCCCTTCTCTCCCCCCCCCTCCGCCATCCCCCAAAGGCAGTGGGGAGGGTCTTCAGGGAGGCATCCTGCAGCCATTTCAACTGGTGCCACAAGCTGCTCTGTGCTTCTGCTCCAAACGGGAAAAGGTATCCAAGAAAATGAGTGCGAGCAGAGCTCCCCAAGGAGCTAACTTGGGGGGTTCTCCAGCCGGCTCTGCTCACGGGGAGGCAGAGCCTGCGGACGAAGACGGGCCTCTCCCCGCAGCCCTGGGCCAGGGGGACGGGAATCCGCAGGAGGAAGGAAGCAGGAGGAGAGCAGGAAGGAGAGGAATGTGAGATGTTTGCTGAAGTTGTGTCTGGACATGTGTGGCTTCTAGAAAATCGTGGAGGAGTGGGCTCCTGGTTGTGGGTGCCCCCTGGCAGGTGAGAGGCGGGGGACACAGGCCTGGGACAGAGGCCCTGGGTGCCACACAGGCGGCTGGTGGACTGAGGGGTCTCTCAGTGCTGGCCCCACAGAGGAAGGCGACTACTCCAGTCTTGCCTCGTAAACAGCAGTAAACCCGTCTGTTAGAAGCCTGTCTGTCTATTAAATCTATCCTGAATTCAAGTTCATGCCTCACTGTTTTTTTCTTTCCTTCTTGTTTTTGTTTTGTTTTGATTCGGTAAGAAGAGACTGCACTCGGTGCAAGGTGCGGATGACGCCAGGAGGGGCGGATGGAGAATACGCCGACCTTTCCCTTGGCCTCCACGTCCCGTGATGGGAAGGGCACTCACACGTGGGCGGCGTGTCTCAGTTGCCACGTGAAAGCAGAGGGCACAGCACAGGACGCTGCTGTCCCGAGCTCCCGACACCGCACCAGTCGGATGGGGACCGAGGCTGCCGCTGGCTGATGCCCTGGCCTGTG